CTACGAGGGTTGCGCCATCTGCATGAAGGTCTGCCCGATCAACAAGTATGGTGCCAAAAATGTGATGGAATACTACGCCCAGACCGGGCAGGTGCTGGGCAAGGGCACCCACGACCTCGAGGGCTACACCCTGCACAGGGAAAGCACCGGAAGGTACGCCACCGGTTACTTCGGCCCTGGCGAACTGCCCACCTTCAATGCGGAGTTCTTCAAGATCCCCAGTGGCACCCGCGAAAACGCGGCCCTCGATGACCTCATTGGGCACCTTGAGTCCCGCCGCGGAGAACCCGCGACGCCCGAGGACGACCAGAAGCTGTTCGACTTCCGCAATCGGCTTAAGGCCATCGTCAGCGGGGAGGCCATCACCGACAGCACGATGTTCTAGCTGACACTGATCTTTCGGGAAACTGTATAGGGGCGCACGGCCGTGCGCCCCTACGTTATGACCGGGATAATGCAGAGATTGAGGGACTGATTCCAGTGAGTGCTTCTTGGTGGGTAGAGGGGGAACTTTTTGAGGGGTGCAACTGCAACCTGCTTTGCCCCTGCCATATTTCGTTTCGCCAGCCTCCGACGAACGGTGTCTGCACCGCCATCTGGGCCGCCACCTTTGAAGGTGGATGTTATGGCGACGTGGACCTGGCCGGGCTCGGGGCGGTGATTTTCGTAAAATCGCCGGGCCCCACAATGGCCGACGGCAACTGGACCTCGGTGTTGTACGTCGACGATGCTGGGAGCGAGGAACAGTCCGAGGCGACTCGGGCCATATTCAGCGGCAAGGCGGGCGGCCCCTGGGAGATCCTGAGCCAGTTCTACCGGGACGGCGAACTGACCGTGGTAAGGAGGGCGCCATTGGAGATGACCATTGACGCTCGCTCCCGCTCGGTTCGAGCGTCCGACGTGGTGCTGCTGGAGGTCGATGCCCTCCAAGGTGCCGACAGGGAGGGCACCGCGACCATTTCCAACCTGCGCAACGTGATCCACGGCAACATTCACACGCTGGGTCGATCCAACCAGGACGTCCGGGACGAGACGATATCCTGGGAGGAACAGGGGAAGCACGGGCTGTACAGCCGGTTCCGCTGGGAGGGGTAGTAGTCCGTTCCCTGACGGTCCGTTCAGAGGTGAACGGACGCGCCTCTACGTTATTCCTGGTTGTTGAGCAGGTTTCGGTAGACCCGGCCCTCTTTCATCACCAGCTTGATGCTTGCCCGCTCCTGCAGGACGGTTATGTCGCTCAGCGGGTTGCCGTCGACAACTATGAGGTCGGAGAGCTTCCCCGTCTCCAGCGTTCCCAGGTCGCTGCCCAAGCCGCAGCAAGCAGCGGCTTCGCGGGTGCCAGCGACGATGGACTCCATGGGAGACATGCCGGCGTCGACCAGCATGTCCAGTTCGACGGAGTTGTTACCGTGGAACCAGCCTCCTGCGTCGGTCCCGGCAACCACCCGAACGCCCAGTCGCATGGCCTGTTGGACGGTCTCGATGTGGTGTTGCCGGAATTCACGTGCCTCCACCTGGGCCACCGGATTGCCCTCGGCCGAGTGGTGGGCAAATACGGTCAGGGTGGGCACCAGCGTCATATCCTTGTCGGCCATTATCCGCAGCAGGTCGGTGTCCAGGTCCAGGTAGCAGCCGTGCTCGATGGAGTCGACGCCTGCTTCCACGGCGGTGCGCAGGCCGGGCCCGCCAACGGCGTGGCAAGCAACCTTACGGCCCTGGGCGCGGGACTCGGACACCAGGGTCTTCAGTTCCGACAGCTCGTAGCAGGCGTCGGTGCCGAGGTGCGTGGCGCGGCCGAAGCCCGTCTGGAAGACCTTGATCAGATCAGCGCCGACCCTGGTGTTCTCGCGAACGGCGGCGCGGATTTCGGCATCACCGTCCGCCACTCCGTAGGGAATATTAGGATCTGGCATCTCGTATCGCCGATGGCCCGAGAAGGTGGGACGGTCTTGGACGCTGTGGGTGGGACCGAGGGGGCCGGCGGCGACGAGCAAGCGTGGGCCGGTGATAAGACCCTCTTCCACGGCGGCCTTGAACCCGGCTTCCAGCCAGCCACAGTCGCGGATTGTGGTGTAGCCGGACTGGAGGGTATCCTCGATCACACGGGCGATGCGCAGGGTGCGGGTGCTCCGGGGCTCGGTCATGCCCCACCGGCTGAGCAGGTCGTAGGTGAAGGAGGCCAAGTGGTCGTGGCAGTCGATGAGGCCAGGCATCACGGTTTGGCCGCTTATGTCAATTAACTCGGCGCCCTCCGGCAGTGCTGCTGCGGCTCGTGGCCCGACGGATGCGATGCGGCCATCATCGCCGATCAAAATCGCCGAGTCGGCCAGAGGTTCGCCGCCCCGGCCGTCGATTAGCGTGCCGCCCGTCAATACCAGCAAAATTACCCTCCTGTGGGCCGTCTCCACAGATATTTCGAAAATCTCAGCATCAGTTGAGGTCTTCCCAGTGCAGCAAGGACGGTCAGGTCATCAATGCCCAACAACCAGGACGTGGTCTGGAAGCGATTACCGTTTACCTTTCAGAGCAGCTTCCAAATTTGTCTTGTCCACATTGTACAGTTCCACTTGATTTTCGAATACGTTCATGCCCGACGCAAGTCTAAATCTGAGCCCGGTCACAATGTCATTGGCATTAGCCTGTGCTATAGCGAGGTACTCGAGAGTTGCCTCTGCGCTCGCGACCTCTACGATGTCCTCCAGCATACCGCCCGCGATGTAGGGAACGATCGTTTCCTCGCCTTCTCGCGTGAACATCACGATGATACGAGATTCCGCTTCGTGCTGAATCCATAGGTCGGCGAAAGTGTCCGCTTCGTTGACCTCGAGCTGGTGTCCCAACTTCCCGGCTGGTTCCTGGAACATCAAGCGATCCAGCGCCTCGTCCAACTCTACCCCAAACCGCTCTGCGTATATCTGGGCATCATGCACCAATGCATGCGAAACGACATCCTGGGCTGCAGAGTGGACCGCCTCCGGTTCGCTGATACTGGTGCGTTCGGGAGCTTTGCCTGGCGCCTGAGTTCCGTCGGCGCTCGCCCCCTGACGTTGCGACGTCCTCGCTCCCTTGGACGACATGCGCTTGGGGCTCATTGTTGGCAAGGAGATGCCCCTCGGTGACGGCCTTGGCGTCCACCTTGGTAACAGACGCCCGCGATTGGCCTTGGCAACCCTGGCAGCGCCACTATCTCAGCGATCGTGCCTGCAACTAGCATCAGGCTGCAGAAGCGATTAATGAGGACCAACTCAAAGTTTCCTGTGTTCCGATGCTATGATAGCTCCGAAAGCCCAAAATGGATCGATCCAGCTTCCCCTTTGGAAAGTCAAACTCGGGAGTATCGAAATGGAACGCGAATTCATCAATCCGCCGGAGTTGGCCTCACCCCCGGCGAACCTGTACAACCACGTGGTCAGGGTTGGGAACACGGTCTACATTTCTGGGCAGGTGCCTCGCGGGTTGGACGGAAAGGCGGTGCACGTTGGGGACGCGGCGGCGCAGATCCGGCAGGTCTGGGCCAACCTGGAAACGGCGGTGAAGGCTGTCGGAGGAAGCCTGCAGGACATTGTTAAGACGACGACCTACGTCGTGGGCTCCGAGAACCTTGGCAAGATCCGCGAGGTCAGGATGACGTTGCTACCGCCGGAGGGCCGCCCGACCAGCACCACGGTGGTGGTGGCTGGGCTGGCAGACCCTGACTTCCTGGTGGAGGTGGAGGCGGTGGCAGAGTTGAGGTCGTAGACACGTGCCGCGGAATCCGCGTTTGTTTGAAGACCGTCAGTCCGTGGTAGAACAAGCTCCCCGTGAGCGGACCGCTGGCGTGTGATTTAACATGCAGATCACGAGCGAGTGGCGGCGCATTTAGGTTTGGTTGTCTCCGAGCCCTACCTGGACACTCGCGCTATCTTCCTGCAGGGTCAGTTCTGTTGAGTCGTCGCTTTTCTCCGAGCCCCGGGCCATAGCCTGGGATTAGAGGTCGCGGCATATTTCGGCCAAGGGCATTGGGACAGCGTAGGCTTTGGCCAGCTTTCCCCCCAAAGCAGGTCTTTGTTGGTGGTTTTTAGAGCGAACCGGGCCCCGAAAATCGCCATTCAAGAAGGTGTCGGGTAGCCTTCCTCACAGGTTGTTCATGCGTCCGATGGCCCCGTTGCGGAATACTTCCACAATAGTCACTGCGGGCACGCCCGGCTTAACGGCCAGTGTCCAGCACGGGTAGGCAAAGCTGGAGGGTGGGTTCGTCTCCGCCAACCATCACCAAGAGATCCCGCAGTCTTGCTCCTATGACCCCTCCCCAGGTCGTCGGGGAAACGATCCGTGCAGGCAGCGGGCAATCGGGAGCCGGTGGTCTCGTGGAAGCCCACAGGAACGTATAGGTCCTGAACCTCGGCCCACGATGGGTCGTGCCAAGACCGGTTGTTGCACATGTTTGGACGAAGCAGTACGGCCTTGCACCCCAACTCCTTGACGCGGCGCCGGGCTTTTATGACCCCGGTTTCCACGACTTGAGGTTAGGGCCGCCGCGTCGAACATGCGGGTCGGGTCACCGGCCTGGATGTAGTGGTAGAACCAGTTGTTGTAGGCTCGGCAGACGGCCTCGGCGAAAATCGGATCCATTCCGTTGCGGGCTGTGATGGACAGGAAAGAATTAGGATGCAGAACTGCTAGGTCGAGGCCCGTTCTGTCCATTGCCTTGAATTGTGACGCTGGGCAGGTGTTGGCGGCAATTTCCTCAGCGGACCGATCCGCAGAAGTCCCTACTTCCTCCCGGCCAGCTGTTGTCGGTAAGGCTGGCCGGGACGTAGCCTTCGACGACGGATCGGATGTCCCGGCGACGTTCGTTCAGCCGACGTGGCGGCCTGTTATTGAACTCCGGTCGATGTATTTTGCCCAGAGGTCTACGGGCTCCGGGACGTGCAATTCGGCGTCGATTACCTTGAATCCCTTTATTTCAATGACTATCCAGTTCCCTGCTGCTGTTGGAATCCGGCCATTTCCTGACGTGGCTAGATGGCCTGCCAATAGCGGCGCCCTTCGGTGCGGACGATACGGCCGAAGCCAGGGGACGCGAGATGGACGGCGGCGACGGGTATGCCGTCCCGTTCCAGGCGATCCATCAGATTCCTGCGGGTGATGCGGGTTGTCTCGGGATCTATGTCGGCGCGGGACACCCAGTCGGTGTTTTCAATCTGGACTGTGTTGTGCAGCACGTCGCCCAGCACCAATCCCTGTTCGCCCTGCGAGGAGATCGCGATGCTCATATGCCCGGGGGTGTGGCCCGGTGTCGGCAGCATGGTCAGCTCACTGGTGAGCACGTGCTCCCCCTCCATCAGTTCAAGCACTCCCAGGTCCTCCAGTGGCCACACGCAGTCGGGGGCGTTGGGAAAGCGTGTTTCAATGAGGGCGGGGTCGTGGCAAGCCTCCCAGTCCCTGGTGCTGACGTAGTAGCGGGCGTTGGGGAAGGTGGGGACGTATTTGCCATCCTGGGATACCACGTTCCAGCCGATGTGGTCGCGGTGGGCATGCGTCATCACGACCATGTCCACGTCTTCGGGTTTCATGCCGTGGGCGGCGAAGTCGTTGAGCAACTCGCCCCAGGGTGTGTCTGGCGTGGGCTTGGGACCCAGACCGGTGTCGACGGCGATGGTGCGGCCCTCGGAGCGAATGACGAAGCAGGCCAGGTTGAAACGGACGCCCCCGCTGGGGCTCAGGTGACTCTCGTGGCCGTGCCAGTCCTCATTGGGAATGGCGGGGAAGAAGTTGCAGAGGTCGAATTCCAGGAGCCCGTCGGAGAGGGACGTGATCTCAACGTTACCGATGGTGAGCTTGTTACCGGGCATTGCCAGACTCCTCAAATTGAGATTCCGGCGGGCGTTACTGCGCCCACCACGGGCGCAAGTATAGAGTGGGGTGTGAGGAGTGGCAAACTGGAACAGGAAATTGAGACCGTCTAAAAACGGTGATCAGCGACGAGGCGCCCGTTCTTGAAGACCACCTGCAACTGGCGGAGGTTCTGGATATCGTTGAGGGGGTTGGCGGCGACTGCGATCATGTCGGCCCGCTTGCCTGGTTCGAGAGTGCCGACATCGGATCCCACACCGCAAAGCTCGGCGGCGTTCCGGGTGGCGGCGGTCAGGGCCTGCCAGGGTGTGGCGCCGTCCTTGACCCAGAGGCCAAGTTCGAGCAGGGCCGAGTCTCGGAGAGGCAGGACGTCGGAACCGAGGGCCATCTTGACCCCGGCTTCCAGGGCTGTCTGGAACCAACTGCGGTGTTGGTCTACTGCTGCCTCGGCGCGGCGTACCAAGTCGGGGGCGAGGGCCTTGCGCTCGCAGTAGGACCGCTCCCATTCGTTGTCGGCCTGGCTCGGGGTGAGGTGGGTAATACCTAGGGTGGGGACGTACCAGGTGCCGTACTCAAGGAACCCGGTAATGCAGTCCTCGTCCATATCATAGCCGTGTTCAACTGAGTTAGCGCCGAGGAGTATGGCAGCTTTTACCGCTACGGGGTTGGTGGCGTGAGCCATTACAGGGATGGAGCGCTGGTGGCAGAGGGTGAAGGCAGCCTCGATCTCCTGGGGTAACAGGAAGGAGTCGAGGTGCCGGTCCCAGAAGGGACCCATTATGCCGCCGGAAAGGTTGAGCTTGATGTGGTCGACGCCGTTTTTGATCTGGTTGCGGATGGCCTCGACGAATCCGTATGGGCCATCACACTCGAGCGCGTGGCCGGAGGTCAGGAAGTGGCCGCCGGTGGTGGTGAGGAAGTGGCCACAGGCGTAAACCGTGGGACCGGCGGGTCCGGATGGGTCCTCGAACGCTCGCTTCCAGGCGACGTCCATGAAGTGGCCGGCGCCGGCGCAGCGTACCGACGTGACGCCAGCCTCGGTGAGGCCGCGCATCAGGTTCTGGCCGAACCAGGCCGTCAGCTGCGGTACGGTGGTGCCTGGCGGATTGGGGTATTCGGGGTGAATGTGGACATCCCATAGTCCGGGGAGCAGGTATGCTCCAGCTAGGTCTATGATCTCGTCGCTGGTTGCCCCATCGGGTGGAGCAGATTCTCCGCCGGTTCTCACAGAAAGGATGCGCCCGTTGTCCACAGTTACCGTGGAGTTGGGGCGGACGCCTTCAGTTACACAGTCGATGAGATTGCAGTTAGCAAGTACGAGGGACATTAAATGCCTTGTGCTCTAAGAGCGCGCCGTGGCCAGGGCGCTTAGGTCTTTGACCTCTATGTTGGAAACCAGCATTATCAGCTCATCGAGGCGGCGCACTTCAAATTCCTTGAAGTCGTCATCCACCACCATGTAACGGGAGACAACCTCCCAGATTTCCCGTTTCATCTGCTCCATCTTGTCGGGAGACAGGTCAATCCGGTCCTGGATGAGCACCAGACGCATGCGTTGCCGGGCGACGTCGCTGGAACTCTCGCTGCCCTTATCGGCCAGCCCCAACAGCCAACGCAACAGTTCACGCATGGGAGTATGCCCTCCCCTTGATACCAACCATGTCCCGGAGCTTGTTGAACATGCCGGCACGGCTGGCAATTTCCTTCAGTGGCACTTCTTCCCCATCGATCCTTGCAGCTATCCGGGTGAAGGCCGCCCCGGCGCTGGAACGCCCGTCGTGCACTGCGGGGACGCCGCGATTGGCGGCGGCAACGGTGCGCTCGTCGGCGGGAACCAGGCCGATGACTTCGACCGCCAGCAACGATTCGACATCATTCTGGCCCATCATGTCGCCGCGTTTGACCATTTCTGCTGAGATGCGGTTGATGATTAGCTTGGGCCGATGCAGGCCGGAGGCCTCCAGTAGGCCAATGACCCGGTCAGCGTCGCGGATGGCCGACACCTCAGGCGTCGTGACGATTACAGCTTCGCCAGCTGCGGAGACGGCATTCTTGAATCCCTGCTCAATACCGGCTGGGCAGTCGATGAGGATGTAGTCGAATTCGTCTTCCAGTTCAGCACAGAGCGCTTTGAGCTGCTCGGGCGTGATGCTGTCCTTATCCCGGGTCTGCGCCGCCGGAATCAGGTAAAGCTCCAACCGGTTTTTGTCCTGGATCATGGCCTGTCGCAACCGGCACTTGCCCTCTATGACGTTGACCAGATCGTAAACAATCCGATTTTCCAGACCCATGATTACGTCAAGGTTGCGGAGGCCGATGTCCGTGTCGATGACGACGACCCTGTGGCCGCGCATGGCGAGTGCTGTTCCGATGTTGGCGGTGGCGGTAGTCTTCCCCGACACCGCCCTTTCCGGAGGTGATGACGATTGTCCTACCCTTCATAAGGTACCCCCTTTCATGTATCTGGCGAAACGACCAGCGAATGGCGAGACGTAGACCGTTCCACGTCGTACATATGCGATCTTGGGTTGATTGTCCGAGGTCTCCTTCTTTCGCTTCCTACTTCCTGTGTCGCCCGACGCCGGTGCATCGGCATTGCAGTTTCCGATGCGAACGCGAGGCGAGGCGATCTCCAGCGCGATTATGGCGGCCTTGCTGTCGCCCGCTGCGCCAGCGTGAGGCAGCCCTTTGAGGGCCCCCATCACGATGATGTCGCCGTCAGCGACGACTTCGGATCCTGGGTTCACGTCTCCCAGGACGACCAGATCACCGGAATGGCTAACGGACTCTCCGGACCGTATGGTGCCGCGAACAACCATTGCGTGTTGGCGATTGCGTTGACTCTGGGAGGAGAGGCCGCTGAGAGCCCGGGCGAGGTCGGCTGAGGAGAATTCGGCCAGTGGCGTGGAGGTCCTTCTGGCGCGGCGCACCGGAGGTTCTACGGCCCTGGGCTTTGGCTCCCGGACGGGAAGGGTGTCTTCAGGATGTCTGTCTGCAGAAGCTTGGTTTGAAGATACGAACCGGGCGATCTTCAGGCCGGACTTTTCGCGGAAGATGCGCCGAATCTCGTCCTCTTGCTCCTCGTTCAGCGTGCGCTTCCCAGTGTTGACAGTGATTCCACCCTCGGAGAACAGCCCACTATGCCCTGCCAGCTCCGCGTCCAGTTCGAGGGTGACCTGATCCAGGGGAGAGTCTTCGTCGAGATGAAAGGCAACGTCGGTGCCGCGGCCGATGATCAGCACGGCCCCTTGCCGCTTGCCCATTTTGGGGGGACTCTCAGCTTCCAGCGCTGGAGATTCGGAAACTACCACCACACACCCCACTCCCAGTTATGTAATGTCGTTTATATCAGTCCGACACCGTACTTATCAATATGTTTTGAGAGATATTTGAGAGATTTTTTAGATTATATGAAGTTATATAGGTGATCCGTGAGCATTCGCGGGGTGGCTCAGGGCAATCGCGTCTTATTTCTCAGCACACAAAATTGGTCTGAATGGCGGTGGAGATGGGAGTGGCGGTTCCTCCTTCAGTTCCTGGTGCGAGGGTAGACGGGGGTTTGGATTCCCGCAGGCGCGGGAATGACGACTTATAGGGCCTCCGGCGTTTAAGACGCGATTGCCCTGTCGATGCAGGTCTGTTGCCACTGGCTGGAGAGATTTCGTGGCTGCGCGGGAATCGAGTACGGCTATCCGAGAGTGTCGGACTCGCGGAGGGCAATTCGATGTCTGCACGGGACAGAATTTTCCCACCGCTGTCCCATTTTGTCCCAAATTCGCGTTCCACCGTAGCTGAAGTTTCCCCAAATTGGCCAAAAATCGCGATTCCCGTCCCATATTGTCCCATTCTGTCCCACCCGGTCTTTCCCCCTGTTTTCGGAGCACATACGGACAGGGCCTTCGTCCAGAAACAACCTCTGATCCGGGTTCGTGAACGCTATTTACGAACATATATACGTAATAATAATACAACAGCGCCGCAGAGGCTGGCAAGGGAGAAGACTCACTCGGCAGGGCAATCGCGTCTTATTTGTCAGCACACAAAACTGTCTAATGTCGGTGGATATGGGAGAGGGAGTGGCAGTGCCTCCTTCGGTTCCGGGTGCGAGGGTAGACGGGGGTTTGGGATTCCCGCTTTCGCGGGAAAGACGACTTATTGGGCCTCCTGCGTTAAGACGCGATTGCCCTGCGGCGTGGCTATGGGAAAAAGAAAGCCGCGCCCTGGAAAGGGGCGCGGTCAATCGGTGTCAGGAGGGAACGCGAAGGTTAAGCGAATTAATCACGGGTGCCGAAGAGCGCCACAGAGCAGGTAAACGAGCCGGGCCGTCCTCCGAGATTATGCGTCAGGCCCAGGTCGGCCTTCTGGAGCTGGCGGTCGCCGGCCTTACCCTGGAGCTGTTTGTAGACCTCGTAGATCATGCGAATGCCACTGGCACCGATGGGATGGCCGAAACATTTCAATCCGCCGTCGGTGTTGACCGGCAGCTCGCCTTCAAGGGTAAAGGTGCCTGCCTCCACGTCCGCACTGGCGCGGCCACGAGGGCTGAAACCGAGATCCTCATAGATGATCAGCTCGGTGATTGTGAAGCAGTCGTGGACCATGGCTAAGTCGATTTCCTGGCGTGGGTCGGAAATGCCCGCCTCCTGGTAGGCCGACTGGCTGGCCCGCACCGTCTCGGGGAAGTGGGTGAAGTCCCAGTCGTTGCGCAAGATGCCGTAGGCGCCGACGGACAGACCGATGCCCTTAACCAGGATATAGTCGTCGCGGAAGGTCTTGGCGATCTCCGGTGTGGTGATTATGGCGGCGGCCGCACCGTCGCTTACGCCGCAGCAGTCAAACAGCCCCAGCGGCCAGGCGACCATGGGCGCGTTGGCTACCTGCTCGGCACTGACCTCGCGTTGGAAGTGCGCCTTGGGGCTCATGGTGCCGTTGTGGTGATTCTTCGAGGCGATCTGGGCCAGAGTCTGCTTCCCTTCCTCGAAGGAAATGCCGTACTCGTGAAAATAACGAGTGGCGGCCAGGGCGAACTGCGAGGGCGGCGGTACGGGCGGGTTCACGTCGGAGCCCGGAGCCTCAGGCACCGCGAGCCCAGAAAACCCGGAGTCCTTGAGCTTCTCGACACCCAGGGCCAGTACAATGTCGTAGACCCCGGCAGCCACGGCGTAACAGGCGTTTCGGAAGGCGTCAGTGGCCGTGGCGCAGGCGTTCTCGACGCGGGTAATGGGGATATAGTCCAGTTTCAATGCGTCGGCCAATGGCTGCCCGGTTCGGAATGAGGAAACGGTGCCCAGCCAAGCCGCCTGTATGTCCTTGCCCTCGATACCGGCATCTTCGTAGGCCTCGTAGGCTGCCTCAACCATCAGGTCGGCGGAGCTGGCGTCCCAGCGCTCGCCGAACTTAGTGCAGCCCATACCGATGACGGCTACGCGATCCTTGATTCCGCTCATAACAACCTCTGCCGTTGAGAATTATTCTCCGATTATGCTGGTTAGATATCTCTTCAAGTCCTCTTCTACGGCACCCTTCCCGCCAATCGTGTTGTCATAGAAAATCACACGATAGCCGCTAACGTCAAAAGGCAGATCGGTCCCGCGCTCAGCCAAAAGAATTACTGGTTTCCTCAAAGCGTGGGAATAGCCAAGTTCAAAAAAGACATTCGGATTGGGAGGCGTGACGTCGGCAATCACAACATTCGACTCGTCCAGGCCCTGCAGGATGTCCTGGAATATAACCCCGGGGCGATAAATGTCATCGGCCCGAATTACGTTTAGCGTGAATTCGCTGCAAACCTGTTTTATCACATCATTGTACAGCTGGTCGTAGGGTGACCCGAATTGCATCACCACAAAAGCTGAGGGCGTGCGTGATGAGATTTCAACTGTGCCAAATTCGACTGGTTCCTTACCATGCGCATATAGCCCTATTTGCTCCCGTTGAATGGTTCCCTCAAAGTGTGGTCCAATACTTTTATTCCATCGACACTAAGCAATATGCGTTGGCCCTCAACTCCTACCTCAACTTGATACGAATGGCCTCGCTTTAAATTTTCGACTCTTCCAACGGTGTCCAACTCACGCCACCCGGTGTCATTGGCGTACTCTTGTACGAAGTAAGCCTTAGTGAGTCCACCAATCCCCGCTGCGATATAGCTGGAATATTGAGAACTGAAACCGAGCAAAATGCCACCGGCGCAACTCGTGTCGCTTTGTGGCAATTTGATGGTGGTTCTAATCCGACCATTTGCAAATTTGAAACCGCTTATAGCGACGCCACACGGGAACAACAGCCTTTCGGACTCATCTGAATCTGCTAATCCGGCGAAAATTAAGGAATTTGGTGTTTGCTCCCAGATCCCTGCCATGAATGCCCAGTCTGCGATTTTAGCGGTTTCTAAAATTTCTACCATTGGTGAATTTGCATCCGGAAGCTCAATTGGCCGAGATTCTCTGCGGCACTGCCTTCCAGTAGTAGTTGTGGATGCCGTTGACTACCCGGAGCTTTCGAAAGCTCATTTTCACGGGCATGCCGATCTGGATTTCGTCCAGCTCACGGTCGGTCATCATGCACAGGGCCCGGCCACCGCCGTCGAAGTCTATCACGGCGATGACAAGCGGAGTATCGGTCGTGCCGGCCAGGTAGTCCATGGAGTACGTGAACACCCGGCCGGGACGGTCGCTGAGGCGCAACGGCGTCGAGTCGTCGCGGGCCTGGCACTTCACACAGACGCGCTGCGGCGGGTACTGTACAAAGCCGCACTGATTGCAGGTGGCGCCATAGAACCTGATGTTGCGGTCGCCCTCGCGCCACATAGCGGACACCGAAGGTGACTGCGCCTGCGGGCGGCGCGATGCGGAGTCGGTCACCCAGACGTCGCGCCAGCGGGCGTAGGTCTCGTAACTGTCCAGGGATTTCCCGGAGTTCAGATGGCTGCTTACGCCGTTTCTCGCACCCCCATTTCCTGTTGAGGAGGTGGCGCGGAATCCGAGAATGTCGCTGCCATCGCCATAGGAGGCGGCTACTATCAATTGTCCCGGCGTTGCCTCTTCCAACGCCGAGGCCAGCAGCATTGGTACGAACGCCGTGCCCGTGTTGCCAAGTCGCCCAAACATGGCGTCCTGCACCTGCTCGGGCGCAAAGCCCAACTGGCGAGCGAGCTGGGCGTGGCGACGTCCGTCCGGGGCGTAGAGGGCGAGCTTGCCTACGTCCCTGGCCGCGATGCCCTGCCGTTCCATGAATCCGGCGATGGCATCGCCGAGAATGCGCTCGAGGCCCTCCTCGATGGCAAAACGGTCTTCCCAGGACCTCAAGAACGGGTCGCCTGCGCTGCGCCAGACATCCATCATGTTCTCGGAGATGTTGTATGAGCCTTCAAGCTCGGCAATGACCTCGTCGCCTGAGACGACGAAAGCCGCCGCGCCGTCGCCGGAGCTACGCTCGGCGTCGCCCTTGGGGGCGCCCTGGCGGTTGTCGCTGGCGATGACCAGCACCTGCCTGGCAGAGCCAGCGTTCACGGAGTCCAGCGCCTGCTTAAGCGCGCTGGTGCCGGCGCGGAGGGAGTCGGTAATGTCGGCGGTGAATATGTCGCGGCGTAGGTCGAGGGCGGTGGCGATTATGGAGGCGCAGCCCTTTTCGGAGTAGGGCGGCGTTGTCGTGGCGAAGAGCAGGCCATCTATGCCCTGCCTATCGCGGCCATCGAGACAGTCCAGACCTGCGGCCACTGCCATGGAGACGCTGTCCTCGTCGAAGTTGGCTACAGAGCGCTCGACCCGCGATCCCCAACCGTCGGTGGATGCGCCGAGACGGTAACGCGGGACATAGGCGCCAAATGCTGCGATTCCAGCCACGAGCACTCTCCTGTCAAGGGATATGGGAATGCTATCAGCGTGGGAAATCGGGTGTCAAACGGGGTAGAGAAGCTGGTTGACCGTCGCGGGGGAGCGTAGCCTCAGGCGACGGCGGCACGGTATTCGCCGAACACGTCGCCTGGCAACTTGTGGTCCAATCGCCAAGTAATTTGCACGGGACGTTCGGAGCGATGTTCCACATATTTCGCGGTACCTGCGCAAAAGTAGGGCATGGTGCGGTGCCAAGCGTCCTGTCGAGCTCTTCTGATGAACAGGACGACATTGGATCCGCGAGCTTCATGGTTGAAATATCGTTGTGCCGTCTCGCTCGCGACTGAGGTGCTTGCCTGACTCTCCCAATGAAACAGGTTGTCGCTGATGGCGTAATCCAAGTAACGTGTGGTCGGCGAGTAGTATTTCTCGGACTTTTCAAGGGTGATAAAAAGCAGGTCTGTCTGGGTCTTTTGGTGGAAATAGACGCCAGCTTGGATACGAGCGGGGTTAGTCACGGTGGACACCCCAAATGCGGACAGGATTTCCTCTTGCCTGTAAGTCGCGTGCGCTCGAAGTGGAATATCGTACGGCAATCCCAACGGTGTATTGAGGTGAGCTATCCTTCCGTCAAGGATGTCCAGTAATTCCAGTAGTTCTATTCTTATGGCTTCGTGTCTCCATAGGTCCGTCAAAGCGTCGACTAGTGACTGGTAGGTATTCTTTCTAGGATTTCGAAGGGTCAACAGCAAAGACGACAGACTGCGGTGGTCGCTTGTATTTAAATACCCCATTGCGGGAGGTCGTTCTTCACCCAAGAACCCTCGATATCTCTCGATACGGTCTGTGTCGTCGTAATGTAGGGTACGCTGAATTCCACTTCGAAATGCGTCTTCGCCATCCCTTTGGACTGGCACCGGCAAATTGGCTGCCCGACGCAGTTCGGTCCAACTACGATTTCCTTGGTTAGACGTCCTCGAGCTCTAACCCGGTCTCATCGAGGAAATCCTTGAGGGGACGGTCTCCGAGGGATCTCATTTCCTGGACTTTGCGAGTCCAACTGTTGGGTATGGCATTCTTTACGTTGTTAAGTACGATTTCTTTGGAAACCGGGTCAAGGTTAATTTGGCAGCCTGGTGGCAGGAAAGGGAAGCCTCCTTCGATATCCAACTCCAGTTCCCGTCTTGAGCGACCGAGCAGGGCCCGATACTTGAGATCAAAGCGGAACTGTTGATGTTGATGGCCTACAAAGTCCAAGACCGTGAGGACGTCTTTGTATTCGGTTCTTCGGAGTCCTCTGCCGAGTTGCTGCAGGAAGATCGTAGCGCTGTCCGTGGGCCTGAGCATCAGCACGACATCGATAGCAGGGACATCAACTCCTTCGTTAAAGAGGTCAACGGTGAATAGAGCCTGGGTTTCTCCACGACGTAAGGCTGTAAGTTTCTCTTCCCGTATCTGCTGAGAGGTTGCAGAGGTGATCGCGTGGGCTGAGATGCCAGCCTTTTGAAACTGTTCTGCCATAAACTCCGCGTGCTGAATGCTCACACAAAACCCAAGGGCGCGCATGCGTTTCGGGTCGGTCACCTTGTCCTGGACCGCACCGATCACGTGGGCAATCCACGATTGGCTTCCGGTGTAGAGGTTGGTGAGTTCGTTGATGTCGTATCCGATTCCGCGACGCCACCCAATGTGGGACAGATCCTGTTGGTCGTGTACTCCAAAGTAGTGAAACGGGGAGAGCAAACCTTGCTCGAGGGCATCCCACAGCCTCAGTTCTACTGCGGTGCGGTCGCCGAACCAACCCAATATGTCAAGGCCGTCCGTTCTTTCCGGAGTAGCAGTTAGCCCGAGGAGATATCTGGGCCGAATGCCACTTAAGAGGGCCTCGTAGGTTGCTGCGGCCGCATGGTGAAATTCGTCTACTATTACGATGTCAAATCGTTCCGGGTCAAGGCCTGAAAGGTCTGCCGCGCTGAGAGACTGAATCGAGGCAAACACGTGCTCCCATTGCGTTGGCCTCTTTCCAGCAACCCAGAGCTCTCCAAATGAGCCGTCGTTTAGCGCGTGTCGAAATACCGCTTGGCTTTGGTCCAATATCTCGCTGCGGTGGGCTACGAATAGCAGATGTGCTCTTTCCACGGTGGGTCGCAGGCGTCGGTAGTCCAAGGCTGCTACCACTGTTTTTCCAGTGCCTGTTGCGGCCACAATCAAATTGTTTCGATGGCCGCGATCGCGCTCCAGTTGCAGCGAATCGAGCATCTGGCGTTGGAAAGGATACGGCTCGATGGTAAATGGAGTAAGGATGGAGTCATCCCGGTAGGTGTCCCCGGTCGCTCGGAAAAAACGTTCTAAGTCGAATTCCTCAAAATGAGGGTCCTGCCAGTAGGTTTCGAAGGTTCTCTCGAAGGTATGGACCACGTCGGCGTTGAGGTGCTGGGAGGCTCTTACGTTCCATTCGAGGCCAGTGGCCTGTGCCGTATGAGTCAGGTTGGAAGAGCCGATGTAAACAGTGGAAAAGCCGGATTTGCGATGGAATAGCCATGCCTTGGCGTGCAGACGGGTTGATCCTATATCGTATGAAACCTTGATTTGAGCGCCGATTCTTTTCAGTTACTCCAGGGCGCGGAGTTCTGTGGTTCCCGTGTAAGTGGTAGTTATTACGCGAAGGGATCTTCCCTCCTGAACGTGCCTTCGCAATTGTTCAATTATCTGTCTAATGCCGCTCCACCTTACGAAAGCGACGATAATGTCAATTCTGTCTGCGGATTCTATTTCAGCAAAGATCTCATTGACCAATGAGGGTTGACCTCGGGCGTTGGTCATCAGGACGGTGTCGCGCAACGGGGTATGAGGTCGTGCAATTGGTATGGGCTTACCATCAGGTCCAAGATGTTCTATTGCAGTTAATCGACTGACTTCTTGCCCGATGGCCAATTCGGCTTGGCTAGCGTCTGGGTAGAGGTCTCTTAGAATCGCCAGAAGGGCCCTGGACAGCTTCGACGCCATCTCGCCTCGATCCTCTGAAGGTTGGGAGGCCAATATGCGTTTGGCCCAAAGGCCGACCATCTCGCCAACTCTGTCGGGAATCTCTGCTGCGTCGATCGCGTTAATGTCCGGAATGACGTGACGGGAGACTAGCAATTGCAGCCGCTGTCGCAGGTCCTCGTCCAGTAGTGTGTCATAGAGACCGAGTGGAAGTTCGCTGCCGCTTTGAGACATGGTCATTGGGCTTTAGCTTCTCCTTTACTACCAAGCTCTCGAACTAGTCGACGTCGGAGGCGATGATGAGCGTGGTGCCGGCGAGGGAATAGACTTAATTGCGAGTCCAGCAGGGGGCGACCCTTCTCAGCAGGAGGACGGGTCGGTTACGGCGAGGTCAGTGACTATCAAGTAAACGCAGCCTCTAATGTGGTGATGGGGACGGGAATTGCACGACGATATTGGGGTGATTCTAACGCTCGGTGCGCTCCACAGGCACGATGAAGCCGTTGGCCCCGGAGAAGAGATCCAATTGCTCCGCATACGTTGCCAACGCAGCGCTGGATCAGTATCCAGTGGCCTATGCGAGGCTCCTCAATGGTCCTTACCCTTACCGTCATCCAGTGGTAGACCCTTGGCCCGAACTGTATTTAGCCGAGCCCAACTCGTCAACCCACGACGCCAACCGGTCCGCCTCACCCAACGGGGTTCCTTTTCTGTCTAGGCCGATAGCTTCTCGTTGCTCTTGGCGGTCACTTCGTGGAGAATGCCCTCTCAGTCCAGCCGCATCTATCTGGTCCATGCCAGTTGGCCTGTGCCCTGCGCTGGCACCGCCGCCGATGGCAACTAAACCTGAGGGGTCGTTTCAGAGTGATGCGATCGAAATGAAGGTGGCGGCAATTTAGTGAACCAGTTGGGCCTTGGTCCTCGGTAATTTCCCCCTGGTACGGATCCCCTCGCCATTGATGACGGGATCCGGCCAGCGAATCCGTACGCGCGACCCACACTAGCTCTGACTCTGCTACAACGCCTTTAATGACTCCACGCCTGCGCAATCATTCCTCCCACTTTGAAATCACACCTTGAGAATAACGGCTGGCGATTGCGCCCAAACGATGCCCGTAATGCTACTATATAGTGGAGGTGACTTGATTTGCACGATTACCATAACAACGACATCCGTAACCTTGCCATTATTGCCCACGTCGACCACGGGAAGACCACCCTGGTCGACGCCTTGTTGAAACAGGGCAAGGTTTTTCGGGCTCACCAGCAGGTGGGCACACTGATTATGGACACCAACCCGCTGGAGCGAGAGCGCGGCATCACCATTCTGGCCAAAAACGCCTCGGTCTCCTACGGCGATGTCCGAATCAACGTCATAGATACGCCGGGCCACGCCGACTTCAGCGGAGAGGTGGAACGCGTAATGAACATGGCAGACGGATGTCTACTGCTGGTGGACGCCGTGGACGGGCCCATGCCCCAGACCACATATGTGCTGCGCCAGGCCCTGCGTCAGAGCGTCAATCCCCTGGTGGTCATCAATAAGATAGACCGCCCCGAAGCTCGGGTGGCGGAAGTCGTCGAAATGGTCCAGGACCTGTTCCTGGAAGTTGCCACCACCGCGGAACAACTCGATTATCCGGTCCTGTACGCCTCGGCCAAACAGGGCTTCGCCACCAGGAGCCTGGACACGCCAGGGTCGGACATGCAGCCGCTCTTTGAAGCCATCCTGGATTCGGTGCCTCCGCCGGCGGGTAACCCGGACGCTCCACTGCAGATGCTGGTTGCCGCCCTTGACTACGATAACTACCTCGGACAGGTTGCCGTGGGCCGGATTACCAACGGAATTATCAGACTGCACGACAGAGTGGCCCTGTTGGGCCGCGACGACGCTTTCACCATCCACAATGTTGAGCGTATCTTCGTGTTCCACGGGATGGACCGAGTGGAGGTAGCCGAAGCTCGTACCGGAGACATTGTGGCCGTGACCGGTCCTGAGGGAGTGTCCATAGGCGACACTATCGCATCGCTGGAAAACCCGGTGGCGCTGCCGTCCATCGATATCGGTGAACCCACAGTTCGGATGACGTTTGGTGTCAATACCTCACCCTTCATGGGCAAAGAGGGCTCGCACTGCACTTCCCGCAATCTCCACGAACGGTTGATGCGTGAACTGAGGACCAACGTGAGCCTGCGGGTGGAGCCCACTACCAGCCCCGATGTGTTCGTGGTCGCCGGACGGGGGGAATTGCACCTGTCGATCCTGGTTGAAACCATGCGGCGCGAACAGTATGAATTTCAGGTATCCCGACCTACGCCCGTTAACAAGGTAATTGACGGAAAGACCTGCGAGCCGTACGAGATTCTGAATGTCACCACCCATGAAGACTATATGGGCCCGCTTACAGAGTACTTGTCAGCCCATATGGCTCGAACGCGGGACATGCGGTACAGCGGGGATGGATATGTCCACCTGGAGTACGAGATACCCACCAGAGGCCTGATCGGCTTCAACGCTTTCTTTAACCGCATCACCCGAGGCGACGGCGTGAAAAGCAGCATCTTCACGTCTTACCAGCCGATGGAAGGGGAAATAAAATCCAGGCGCAGCGGAGTGCTCGTGGCATCCGAGGACGGGGTGGCCGTCGTCTACGGGCTACTTAAGCCCAGGGCCGTGGCGATACTTTCATAGATCAGGGCTTCAGGGTTTACGAAGGCATGATTGTCGGCTCCCACCCTCGTGAGGGCGACCTCGAAATCAACGTATGCAAGGAAAAGAAGTTGACGAATATGCGATCGTCAACGGCCGATGTGGCCAAGCGTTTGAAGGCCACCGTAACTATGAGTCTCGAGGAAGCGCTGGCATACATCACGGACGACGAGCTGCTGGAGGTAACGCCGCATAATCTGCGCCTGCGCAAGATGGAACTCTCCGCTTTGGACCGAAAGCGCCATCGCCGCGACGGGTCGCGGGCCCGGGATTAATGTTGTCCTATAGCGTCGACCGCACCGGCGATGCATCTATATCACAGGAATGCAGTGCTGTTGGCCTGAGCCCGGCTGCAACTTTTGAAGCTCATCCTTAGCCGCTGCAAGGAAGGGCACCTCGCCGTGGTTACTTTGGCCAAGCTTACGTTCTGCTGCTCAACGGTTCCGATTCCTGCAAACGTTAGGAACCGCATTCCGCCAGAAATGCGCCAAACACGTCCCGTTAGCCTCTATCATAAGCACGGGTCTCACGCTGCGCTTCAGGTAAATTGGGAACCCAGACTATAGACCCTACTTCGCTGAATTTCTGCTTCAGCTTTGGCCAGGAGTCGCCCGCATCGTCACTGGAATAAACCCCGCCGATAAGACTGGGGGAAGGACGAAGTCAGCGTCAGCGGGATGGGTAACGTTGTTCCAGATGTTGGAGTTGGGCTCAACAAATAGGGGCGAGGTTCCCAGGTTTCCCCGGCGCCGCCGGAGTGCTGGTTAAACCCGGTGCCGCCGATTGCCGTCTCCCCGACGGCGGCGAGGATAACGGTGGGGTCGCTGGGCTTGAAGGCGATTCCTGGGTTGTAGGACAATTACTACAGTCATAGTGCTGATGCGAGTAGCGATCGCCGGCGCTGGTAATGGCATTGTCGCGCTGAGACTTGATGTCGCCGTCTCAATTTGCACCATGAAGCACAAAATCGGGAGAGCGGTCCTGGAGTCCATACAAGGCAGGTGTGCAACTCGGGGACTTTCAACAAAATCAGGTTTCTGCCCTGTGGGACAGGCCGCCCTCTCAAATTCGCCCAAGAAGGTCTCGGCCAGCCCAATGCAGGCGTAGTAGGCTATCTCACCAAGCTTGTCCACGCTACGCCAGGCCGTGGCCAGTACTCTTTACCCGGCTCCCTCAGGGGCCCTATCGCCACGGTGGCCCAGTAGTAGACCTATGGACCCTTGGGACCGGCGCCCGCGCTCAGCCGTTGCCCTTCTTAAGATAGCCGGTTTCGCCCAACACAAGAATGCCGTCAGAGTCAGCCAAATGCTCCGCACCCAAGTCAGCAAGACAATCGCGGACCATTCTGGTGTTCCACTGGTAGATGGACGGGATTCTCTGCGCCCCGTCGGGGGTGGCGTGGTCAGCCTCCCTTCGACATCTTCAGAATCGCCAGTTGCCAGCAGTTCTTGGGCTCCACTCCGGGCTCAGCAGTCATCGCAAGTACTCCATTGCCTGCCGCCTCAGCCTCCAGAGCCGTCCAGCGACTCACTTGTGTGCACACTCATTCCCCTCGGTTAATCCCGCCAACTTTTCTTTCACCGCAAACACAACCACACATCATCACTGGAGGACTGCACCAATTCCCCTGCCCCAGTATGCAACAGTAATATTGGCACAAAGGCCGATTATCCCGCCAGTTCTGTCGGGATTCTCTGCTGCGTAAACCGAGCTAATGTTTGGAATGACGTGATGGGCGACGCGCCCTTGCAGCTGCTGTCGTAGATCATCGTCAAGTAGACTGTTGCAGAGACCGAGTGAAAGCAGGTGGCCGCTTTGGGACGTGGCCTTTGGCCTCTCCGGCACTACCTAGAGCTCGAACTCTTTGACGTCGTCGGTGATGATGAGCGTGGCGCCGGTGAGGGCCTGTACTTCCTCGGTAGTCCAGCCGGGTGCGACTTCCCGCAGGACTAAGCCGTCCTGAGTGCGCTCGATTACGGCGAGGTCGGTGACTATCAGGTAAACGCACCCCTGGCCGGTTACAGGGAAAGTGCATTTCTCTACGATCTTTGGGTTATTCTGGCGGTCGGTGTGCTCCATAGCCACGATAACTCCACTGGCGCCGGCGGCGAGGTCCATGGCGCCTCCGACGTTGCCCACGCCGCGTTGGGGCAGCATCCAGTTAGCCAGATCCCCATTGGCTGAGACCTGGTGGGAGCCCAAGACTGTGACGTCAACATGACCGCCGCGGATCATGGCGAAGGCATGCGACGAATCGAAGAACGACATTCCCTGCACTGATTCCAGAAACTGGCCTCCAGCGTTAATCAGGTCGATGTCCTCGTTGCCTTCCTCGGCCAGCGGACCGCAATTCAGGATGCCGCTCTCACTGTGGTAGAAAACGGTCCGCCCTTCGGGCAGGAAGCTGGAGACTAACGTGGGGATGCCAATGCCGAGGTTCACGTAGGCACCGTCGGGCAACTCCTTGGCTACCCGCATTGCTATTATCTCGCGGGGCAACCTTTCTTTTTTCAGCCAGTGCTCCCAAATCAACTGCCATGGTGCCTTCCTCAACAGTCCCTAGGTGTCCAGGTATGGGGAAAATTCTTTGGGGCGTTTCACGATCCGGTCAACGAAGACCCCAGGGGTAACTATCGCCTCGGGGTCGAGTTCGCCCGGATCGACGATTTCGTCCACTTCCACGATCGTGACGCGGGCGGCGGTTGCCATTACCGGGTTGAAGTTTCGTGAGGTGCCTCTGTAGACCATGTTGCCCAAGGAATCGGCCTTGTGCCCCCGGATGATGCAGAAGTCGGCCAGGATGCTTTGCTCCAACACATAGGGGCGGCCGTCGATATCCCGCACCTCCTTGCCTTCGCCCAACAGCGTGCCAAATGCGGTCGGAGTGTAAAAGGCGGCCACGCCTGCTCCGCCGGAACGAACGCGTTCGGCGAGGGTCCCCTGTGGAGATACTTCGAGGGTCGACTCTCCCTCCTGATAGGCGCGTTCGAAGGCACTGGGGCGGTTAATGGACGGTGATACGGGGTAGGATGCAATGGCCTTGGCTATCTGTCCGTTCTCCACCAGAATGGTGTGGTCGATGGGGGTGACGCCCTCGGGTGCGCCAAACCGGGCCACTCGGGCAATTCCAGCAGTGTTGCTGATTATAGTGAGGCCCTTGGCGCCGTGGTCACGCAACGCCACCATCAGGTAGTGGGCCATCCCGCCAGGGCCACCGAACCCATCCACGTTGACCACCGCTCCGTCGGGAATGTCCTGAACCGCCTCTGCGGCGCTGGCGTAGACTTTGTTGGGCCAGGGAAGCGTGGGGACGTCGAAGGTCATTTCGCGAAGTCCGGAAGCCACGGAAAGAGGAGCCTCAGTCATCGAGGCAATGTCGTCGGCCGACCAGCCGGGTGCCACCTCGGCCAGTTCCAACCCTGAAATGGTGACCAGTAAAACGGCGATGTCTGTGATGATCACTGACACGCAGCCAACGCCGTCGACGGGCAGGGTGCAACGTTCGTGAATCCTTGATATGCCGCCCTCGTGGGCGTGGGTCATCATCGCGACGACACGTTTGGCCCCGGATGCCAGGTCGACGGCAAGGCCGGGAGCGGCCAGGCTGGCGGTTTCGGCCGTGGTCCAGTGTACGAAATCGCCATTTGCGCTCACCTGTGCTGCTTCGACGAAGGCGAGATCTACGTGACCGCCCCCGAGCATGGCTGCCACATCCACCGTACCTACAACCACTCCCCCCGGCAGTACGATGGCGGTTTCGCCAACTCCGTCTATTACCGAGGACGCTCCACCAGGGCGGTAGCCCAGTGCTCCGCTTTCGGCAAGCAGCCAAACCCCGCTGCCCGCTGGAACCTCGCCTGGAATAGCAGCAGCGAGGCCCGAGCCAATCGCAGCGGTTTCTCCGGGCCGGATTTCTTGTGCCGCCCTGAGGGCCATTTTCTGAGGGTCAAGTCTGTTGCCTGGCATTCTGCGGCCTCTGTGCGTGGTCTACTGACTTGGTATTTGTGGCCCCACTATGAGACGGGCTATGAAGTTAAAACGATACGTTGCACGAAAATTGCAGGAGTGATTACTGTCTCAGGATCGATGCCGCCGGGTTCTCGAATTTCGTCCACTTCGGCGACGGTTACCCCTGCGGCCATGGCCATCACGGGGTTCCAGTTGCGGCCGGTGCCAGAATATACCAAGTTTCCCAATGTGTCGGATACGGCCGCCCGCAGCAGTGCGAAGTCAGCCTTTATGGCAGTCTGGAAGATGTGCTCGCGGCCGTCGATGACTCGTACCTCCTGGCCTTCGGCGAAGCGGGTCCCTGCCCCTGTGGGTAGAAATGAACCGCCGATGCCGGCCCCTCCGGCTCGAATCCGCTCAACCAGAACGCCAACCGGTTGCACTTCCAGTTCAAGTTGTCCTGCCTCCCACCGTTGTTTCACCGACCCGCCCTGGCGTGGATCGAAAGGAAGCGGGGAAACAAGCTTGCGGACCAACCCGCCTTCGACCAGCGCATGGATATCGGTGCGCCCGGGAGTTGGGACTCCGGCGCCCTGGCAGATGATCGTCAAGTCCGCTGCACCTGATTCGACTAAGGCGCCCAGCAGATTGTCCGGTAAATGATGTCCTCCGAAACCGCCGACCAACAACGTAGCGCCAGAGGCGAGTCCTGTCAGTGCAGCTGATGCGGAGTGGTAGACCCGGTTAAGTCTTGTGCCAGATGATGTGTTCACTGATGGTAAACCTCAAGACACGGGAGCGGCTGCCGTTTCTTCGGGGCGGTCAGATTCGTTCGCCTGTTCCTGGGACTCCTGCTGATTCCTGTCTCCGCTCCTCACCATGCTGATGAGTGCGGAAATGCCCGCGGCTGCAGCACCAGCCGCCGCGATAGCTGCTCAAAGCATTCCAGATCTCCTGTACATTGTGGGGCTGCGCCAAGACTGTGAAGTTCACCGATAGCTGAATGGATTTCATTATAACAATCCTTCCGGCAGGAACGTTTCGCCTTCCCGGTTTGATGTTCACAGGAGGTCAAGAAAAAACCGTCCCGCCAAACGGCGGGGACGGTCTCCTGGTTGCTGATAGCGACCTATTGGACTAGAAGTCCATTCCGCCGCACCGGGGGCATGCCTGCGGGCATGGCTGAGGCCGGCTGGGGGATTTCGGAAATCATGGACTCGGTGGTCAGTACCATAGCTGCCACGCTGGCCGCGTTCTGCAGAGCAGAGCGAGTGACCTTGGTGGGGTCTACGATACCCTTTCCAGCATTGGGCCGTATTCTCCGACCTCGGCGTCATAACCGTAATCGTCGGCCTGTTGCTTGACCTGGTTGAGGACCACAGCGCCTTCGAACCCAGCGTTCTCGACTATGAGCTTGAGGGGCTGCTCGAGGGCCCGGCGGATGATGTCCACGCCGACCTTCTCGTCCAGAGGCATTTCGCGAACGTTCTCCAGGGCGCGCTGTGCGCGGACAAGGGCAACGCCGCCTCCGGGCACGATGCCCTCTTCAACGGCGGAGCGGGTGGCCGACAGGGCGTCCTCGACGCGGGCCTTGCGCTCCTTGAGCTCGATCTCCGTGGCCGCGCCGACCTTGATCACCGCGACACCGCCGGACAGCTTGGCCATCCGCTCCTGCAGCTTCTCGCGGTCGAACTCTGAGGTGGTGTCTTCGATCTGGGCCTTGATTTGGGTGATGCGGGCCTGGATGGCATCCTCGGAGCCTCGGCCTTCGACGACGGTGGTTTCGTCCTTGGTGGCGGTGACCCGGCGGGCCTGGCCGAAGTCCTCGAGGGTGGCGGAGTCCAGCTTGCGGCCGGTCTCCTCGCTGATGACGGTGCCACCGGTCAGGATGGCGATGTCTTCCAGCATGGCCTTGCGGCGGTCACCGAAGCCGGGGGCCTTGACGGCTAGCGCGTTGAGGGTGCCGCGGAGCTTGTTGACCACGACGGTGGCCAGTGCCTCGCCGTCCACGTCCTCAGCGACGACCAACACGTTCTTGCGGCCGACCTGCAGGAGTTTTTCCAGCGCGGGCAGGAGCTCGGCAACAGCGGAAATCTTCTTGTCGGTGATGATGATGGTGGGATCTTCCAGGACCGACTCCATGCGGTCGGGGTTGGTGATGAAGTAAGGAGAGATGTAGCCGCGGTCGACCTGCATCCCTTCAACGTACTCGATCTCGTCAGAAAGACCCTTGGATTCCTCGACGGTGATAACGCCGTCCTTTCCTACCTTTTCCATTGCCTCGGCGATTGTCTCGCCGATGGCATCCTCGTGGGCCGAGAGGCTGGCCACCTGGCCAATGCGCTCACGGGTCTCCACCGACTGAGACATTCCCTGCAACTCGCCTACCACGGCTGCAACGGCGTACTCAATGCCGCGCTTGATGGCCATGGGGTTGGCGCCTGCGGTTACGTTCTTGAAGCCGTCGGTGATTATGGCCTGAGCCAGTACCACAGAGGTGGTGGTGCCGTCTCCAGCGGCGTCGTTGGTTTTGGTGGCGGCTTCCTTCAGGAGCTGGGCGCCCATGTTTCGAAGGAATCGGGGAGCTCAATTTCCTTGGCAATGGTAACGCCGTCGCTGCAGACCTGGGGCGGGCCGAAGGACTTGTCCAGAACCACGTTGCGCCCCTTGGGACCGAGGGTAATCTTCACCGAGTCGGCGAGGATGTCGATACCGGTGCGGAGGGACTTACGGGCTTCCTCCGAATAGGTAAGTTTCTTGGCAGGCATCCATTCCTCCTTAATAACTATAGGTGTGAATTCACCGGCCGGACGGGCGTCTCCGGGACGATAACGGGAGCCGCCAGCCCCGCGCCAGAACTAGGATAGCTTGGCCAGAATGTCGCTCTCCCGCAGGATGAGGTATTCGTCGTCGCCGTCCTTGTACTCGGTGCCGGCAAACTTGGAATAGATAACCCGGTCTCCCTTGGCAACGTCCATAGCGATGCGTGTTCCGTCATCGCTGACCCGGCCCGGGCCAACAGCGACCACCTCGCCTTCCTGGGGCTTTTCCTTGCTGTGTCGGGCAGGAAAATACCGCCTTTCGTGGTCTGCTCGCCCTCGCTGGGTTTCACTACCACACGTTCGCCCATAGGTTGAAAATTCGCCACCGCGGCCTCCTTTAGTTATGCCGGGAATTGATCTTGACCCGGCAAATTTAGCTTGCGATTAGCACTCTGGGCGGCAGAGTGCTAATCTATGTTAATCAAGGCATTTTGGCTTGTCAAGAATCGCTTTCACAAGCCGCAGCGAAGCGTTCTGCCCTTGGGAATTGCACTTTCTGGGCCCGTATACTCTGCGCTCAGTTGCATGGCAGGTCAATAGTTTTGGGAGAGTAATCATTTCTCACAATACGTTGCAATTGAGACTGGACGGACCCGTTGCGGTGGTAACGCTCAATCGCCCCGACGCCGGTAACGGTGTGAATGAGTTGATGGCCGGGGAGTTGAGAGATGTCGCCGACCAACTGGCCGCAGCAGACAACGTTCGAGTGGTAATATTGACCGGCACTGGACCGGTCTTCTGTGTTGGCCGTGAGGCTCCTGCTGAAGCGTTGCGAATCAGGGGCCTGCAGGCGGCCCGGACGGTCGCGGACCTGCCTTTACCTGTTGTGGCGGCGGTTAACGGCGACGCTGCCGACCACGGCCTCGAGTTGGCACTCGCTGCCGACCTGAGGGTAGCGGCATCGTCAGCGCGGTTCTGGTTCTCGACTCCGTCTGCGGCGACTATTCCCTTCGACGGGGGCACACAACGTTTGCCCCGGTTGGTGGGGCCGGCTTGGGCGAGGGATATGCTGCTCACCGGGCGCAAAGTGTCCGCAGGCTGAGGCCTGGGAATAGGGTTGGTCAATCGGGTGCTGCGAAGGCGTGAGGATGAGCACGCTGCTCGTGGCCGCGCACAGCAACTGCTGATGCCATGCGAAAGGCAGTCCACTAGGGGCACTTTACGCAAAGGAACGCTCCGGTGGGGTCGGGCGGGTCCGAGTGTGCATTCAGCAGGCCTCGACTGGAGGCGGACCTTAACATGATCCTGCAGAGCACCGCCGACAGGGCCGAGGGAATAGCATCGTTCCTGGAACGGAGGCGCCCGAATTTCACTGGCGAGTGCCTGGCTACTATCGGGACTAAAAGGCGCGAATTTCGATATGGGAGAAATGCGTTTTGCTAACTTAAGCTGGATTCTCCACACACACGTTTGTGGGAAGCCGTAATTTTCCGCGCCGTCGTGGAAATTGCCGAGACGGTGGTAGATAGATCAAGGCTGCCGGCCATAGACGCTATCGCTAACGACCATCACAACAAGGATTGGTCGTTTGAGTTTCGAGAGTTGGTTGAGAGGCACTTCCCAGGTGAGGCCGTCATCATCCCGGGTTGGGAAATCGAGGTGCGCCCTGAGCAAAACCCCTTCGCCGAATACCAGGTAGCGGAGCTGTTCCTTCCGCCAATGGACGGGATGGAGGGAGGAGTGTTCCGCACTTATTGTCATCCCGGCTATTACTCTCCTGAAATCATCATCGAGCAGGACATCCACGCCATCGAGATCGACAACTACATCCACAACTGGCACATCCGCAAGCCTTTGGTCAAAGGAAAGGCAAATACTCACGACCTGATCCTTATGGAAGTCAGCGACGCCCACAACCTGGAAAATATCGGTCTCCGATACACCGAAGTTGACTTGACCGAGCTATATGCCCGCGCGGTGAGGCCCGTGGGAGCCAGCCTTAGATAACCGAAATGCGCCCCTTCGAGACTCTGATATACGAGAAGGAAGGCGCTATTGGCCACATTTCCTTCGACCGTCCGCCAGTTTTGAACGCTTATAGCGTTCAGATGAGGGACGACTTTTCTGAGGCGTTGTCTGCGGTCGCCGACGACCCTGACGTAAGGGCGGTGCTCTTAACCGGCGAAGGGCGGGCCTTCTGCGCGGGAGCCGATCTCACGGAATTTGGGTCGGCTCCGTCTCTGGTGGTTGCACGACAGGTCAGATGGCAGAGGGATGTCTGGAGCCAGATGATCGGGATAGACAAACCGGTTATTGCCGCGGTTCACGGCTATTGCATCGGTTCGGGGTTGGAAATAGCCTTGCTGTGCGACATTCGAATCGCAGCAGAAGATACCGTGTTTGCGATGCCTGAGGTCGGGCTAGGCATGATTCCTGCCGCCGGGGGCACTCAGACGTTGCCACGCAACTCTCGTCCCTCGCAGGCCCTTGACCTTCTGCTGACGGGTCGACGTTTCAGCGCCGAAGAAGCGCTGAAAATGGGGCTGGTAACCCGGATTTCACCCGCTAATCGCCTGCGGGAAGACGCCTTGGAGGTGGCCTGCCAGCTTGGAGATGTCGACCCTGGCACCATTTCGAACCTCAAGCGCGCACTTCGAGAGGGATGCGACATGCCGCTGAATGACGGGTTGGAATTGGAAACCCGCCTCGTAATACTGTCGTCATCTAATTAGGCTAGAATTCGCTTTTCACCTCAATTGATTCCTTTCCGCTATGTTTGGAGGAGCGTCGACTTTACAAATCGATGAATACGACTGAGTTACTGACGATTGCCGAAGCCATAGTACCCGACCGTACCGCGATGATCTTTGACGGGCGCGAGTTCACCTACGCTCAAATTTCCCAGCGGGTCAACCGGCTGGCGAACGCCATGGCGGAACTGGGCGTGACCCCGGGCGATCGAATCGCGACGATGCAGGTGAATAGCCACCGCAGCATCGAATTGTACTTCGCCGCAGCGCAGTTGGACGCTGTTTATGTGCCCATCAACTTCCGTGCCAAGACGGACGAGTTGCATCAGATGCTGCGCATAGCGGAACCGACTTGCCTGTTTATTGGCGAGCGGTATCTGGAGTTGCTGGGGGAAGAGGACCTGTTCGGGATGCCCCAGGACCGGGTGATCATACTGGACGCCGGTACCACCACCGGTCTCGACAGTTTCGAACATCTCCTTAGGAGCGCATCCCCCGAGCAACTGTTTTTTCCGGAAGCGGAGGACAACGACACCACAGTCATTATGTCACTTCGGGGATCACCAGCGAGCAAAGGGGCATCTGTAATGCTGACTCACGACAGCTTTGCCTCTATATCCTGGCCATCCGTAATGCCTGCGGATCCCGACATTGAGGAGACCAACCTCGGTCACTCCGTACCCGTGACTACACATCGCTGGCCCTGCAGGCGCACTGACGGCAGGTCTACGCGCCGAACATCAGCGCTCATGCGCGACGAACGCTTCTCTTCTGGTCGCTCTCATCTTGCGTTTTTGCCTCTTCGTTCACGGTTCTTGTTTGCCCGATGAGAAATTCTTGTGTTTCTTGAAATACAAGACTTGTTGCAGTGAGACCACTAACAGGAAGGAAGTGAATTCAGTTCCTTGTGTCACCGACGCTTAGCTTTCTCAAAATCAGCTTCGAATGTATTTTCTCTGCTTTGTTTTGTTGTATTCGGTCTTTTGTTCTTTCTGTCTGTCTTTTATATGATTCTTTTTGGGCTTGGATAGGATCTTGTGCAGGACTACAGGCCCAACCTGCCACTGCTTCTTTCTTTCCCTGCTTGCTGGCGTACCAAACAATGCTGCGGATTGAAAGCATCTACTACTAGACCAGGTCCCACGCTTCGCGAATACGATCGTCGTCTCTGGTCACGTGATCACTATGGGCCGCCCGCCCGAGGCCCATAGTATTGGGTAATCCGGGGAGGGATATAGGCATGATCAAGAGGGTTTCGGGAGCGAGTTTCATAAACGCCTTCGGCCAGACGTGAGTACGGCCTCCACATGATTACGATGCTACCTCTTCGGCCAAGACCACGGTCTGGACGGGTCTGCACGGACTGGTTGGTGACTTTGAAACCAAGGTGCGCTCGTCTCCTTCCATAGGCACAGCCGCGGGAGGATGTGACCGGTCGAGATGTGGACGGAGGCCGGGGGACCGACTCCAGGCGGCGGCGAGACACCCTGGCGAAATAGTGCCACGCGTGTTGCCCAGCGGAGCGGGAGTGATGGCCGGATATTGGCAGAGCCAGCACGGGGAGTGGCCACACACAGGAAACGATGCGGTCCGGGTGGGTCTATACCGGGAACTTGGGTTATCAGGACGAGGACAGGGTATATCTACTGCGCTGGTCGGTCAAGACTTATAAAGCGGGGCTGGTGTCTGAAATGGTAGCTCCATGCAAAGAAGTGGAGGCCGTCCTGCTATCCACCACCCCCAGGTCGACGACGCGGCGTCATAGGCGTGACCGACGTTGAATGGTTGGCGGTGAGGAAGATTCGGGCGTGGTCGTCCGGACGCTCCGCGAGCTCTCAGGCACAGCGGCGCATAGGAGAGTCGGACCACCAGTTGAGGCTATCAGTGGAGTATTCATTGAGTTTTGACGTGAACGCATGGCCGGTGCAAGGCGCGATATATATATGATATTATATCTTGCGGGTGGATCTGTCGGTCCTCCTGCGTGTCGTCGACGAGTTGTTGCCCGTAACGTGATGGGCAAGGTGTGATGTTGAACCGCCGGACACTGCGTAGATGTATACAGGATATCCAGACTCGAGTCCTCTTGATGTATCGCTAGCAGCGTGTCCGAGGATAGATGTGTGGAGACGCAAAAGCGCCACTGACTAATCTCATGGTGACTATGGGCTCTACATTAAACCGTTTACCGGACTAATAACTTTGGTAGATTGCCCGGAAACGGATTCGTTAGAACATTGTTCTCAGACAGACTGCTAGGGAATCGTCAGCCGTTAACCGGTCCAGCCGGAACGAGGAGGCAACCAGGTGAAAGTGCCAAATAGTGGGCGCCGGTGAGTCGGCGGCTATTTTGGCGGATACTGGACCGTGACGGGACCGAATTCAAGTACGTTCGCACCCAGAGTGGCATCTGGACGCCATCCGTCGCAACGGCGGCCTGGGGTGGAGAAGAGCCAGAAACGACGGCGGAATCACACGCAGGCCCGGACGCGGTGTTGGCGATACCGCAGATGACGGAAGCAAGGATCCGTGCTGTTCAACAGTGAAAGATGCACGACAACCCCGGCGCCATCGCCTCGGCTGCCCCCATTGGTCAGCGCCGATACCGTGGTGGCTCACCTGCAGAACGGGATAGATAACGGCGAGCAGAATCGCCAGGGTCATCGGACGCGAACGGTGATGGTCGGACGGGTTATGGAGGGGCGCATATCGAGCCCGGGTCGTCACTCAGGTGGACTGGCACCGCCGGTTTTGGGAGATGGTCAGTGATATTATAGAATGAATGATAAGTGAGTTACGAAAGCAAAGCACAACAAATCTATAGAATTTACGTTGGTCTTTACCAATCAGGAGGTAAGAAAATCTTAACTCGGTGTAGTTATATGTAAGCCTTAATGAGCACAGTTTCTAACACACACTTACTGTTAGTGATACTTATAGAATGAATGATAAGTGAGTTACGAAAGCAAAGCACAACAAATCTATAGAATTTACGTTGGTCTTTACCAATCAGGAGGTAAGAAAATCTTAACTCGGTGTAGTTATATGTAAGCCTTTCTCAGCACAGTTTCTAACACACACTTACTGTTAGTGATACTTATAGAATGAATGATAAGTGAGTTACGAAAGCAAAGCACAACAAATCTAT